GCGGTCAAGCTTATTCTTTTATTGTTTATTTATTGGAGACAAGGTCTTGCTCTGTCACCCAGACTGGAGTGCAATGGTGCCATCATGGCTCACTGCAGCCTCCTGAATTCTATGTTTCCCAGGCTGGTCTCAAACTCCTGGGCTCAAGTGATCTTCCTATCTCAGCCTCTCAAAGTGCTGGGATTTTTTTTTTTTTGAGACAGAGTCTCACTCTGTCGCCCACACTGGAGAGCAGTGGCGTGATCTTGGCTCACTGCAACCTCTGCCTCCCGGGTTCAAGCAACTCCTTGCCTCAGCCTCCTGAGTGGCTGAGATTACAGGCGCCTGCCACCATGCCCAGCTAATTTTTGTATTTTTTAGTAGAGACGGAGTTTCACCATCTTGGCCAGGATGGTCTGGAACTCTTGACCTCAGGTGATCAGCTGGCCTTGGCCTCCCAAAGTGCTGGGATTACAGGTGTGAGCCACCGCGCCCAGCCAGTGCTGGGATATTACAGGCCTGAGCCACTGCACCTGGCCTAGTCTATATTTTTTTTTTTTGAGATGGAGTCTTGCTCTGTCACCAGGCTGGAGTGCAGTGGCGTGATCTCGGCTCACTGCAACCTCCGCCTCCCAGGTTCAAGCAATTCTCCTGCCTCAGCCTCCTATGTAGCTGGGATTGCAGGCACCTGCCACCACACCTGGCTTATGTTTATATTTTTAGTAGAGACAGAGTTTCGCCATGTTGGCCACGGTGGTCTCGAACTCCTGACCTCAGGGATCTGCCCGCTTCGGCCTCCCAAAGTGCTGGGATTACAGACCTGAGCCACTGCACCCGACCTCAAAAACAATTTTTTTTTTTTTTTTGAGACGGAGTCTCGCTCTGTCGCTCAGGCCGGAGTGCAGTAGCATGATCTCAGCTCACTGCAAGCTCCGCCTCCCAGGTTCATGCCATTCTCCTGCCTCAGCCTCCTGAGTAGCTGGGACTACAGACACCCGCCACCTCGCCCAGCTAGTTTTTTTTGTATTTTTTGGTGGAGACGGGGTTTCACCGTGTTAGCCAGGATGGTCTTGGATGGTCTCGATCTCCTGACCTCGTGATCCGCCCATCTCGGCCTCCCAAAGTGCTGGGATTACAGGCTTGAGCCACCGCGCCCGGCCTTTTTTTTCTTTTTTTGAGATGCAGTCTCACTCTATCTCCCACGCTGGAGTTCAGTGGCTCAATCTCAGCTCATTGCAACCTCCGTCTCCTAGGTTCAAGTGATTCTCCTGCCTCAGCCTCCCGAGTGGCTAGGATTATAGGCGCATGCCACCACACCCGGCTAATTTTTGTACTTTTTGTAGAGACAGGTTTCGCCATGTTGGCCAGGCTGGTCTCGAACTCCTGACCTCAAGTGATCCTCCCACCTCAGCCTCCCAAAGTGCTGGAATTACAGGTGTGAGCCACCACACCCGGCCACCAAGCTAATTTTTAAAATTTGTTTGGAGAGATGAGGTTTCACCATGTTGTTCCAAGAAACCCCAGTGCTTTTCACCTCCATTAGTAACTACAGGAACATCTTCGTTCATCTCTGTCTCCCCACTTGTGAGACGTTCTCTTTAAGATAAACTCCTGGCAGTGAATTGCTGGATACAAGGGCGTGTGTACTTAAAAAGATCTCAGATATGGCCAAATCATCCCCGTTGCAACCTGTGATGGGGACTCTTTCACATGCCCCTGCCACCACTGGGGAGCCCTTTGTGTTTATCTCACCAGCTGGAGCCCCCCCCGCCCAGTTTATCTTTGTCTCACACTTACCTGACCTTGCAGGGCTCAGCCCCTTGCTCCAAGCCCTGTCCATGTGGCTTTTGCATCCCGAGGCATGAGTTCCTCTGCTTTGTCTGCCTGCTTTTCTCCGCCAACCTGTCACCTTCCCTTTGGGCTCACTTCCTGCCTCTCTGAGGCTCTGCCTGTCTCTGTCTCACTTTCCCTCTCGTCTCTGGTTTCCCTTCTCTGTCTCTCTGTTGTGGTGTCTCTCTCCTGGCTGGGTTTGATGTCTGTTTCTCCCTGACCACCTGCTCTGTCACTCACGCTAGTTTGAGTTCCCTGCCCTGGTGCCTATTCTGGGATATACGTGGGCATGTGGGCAGCCCTGGGCTGACACAGGCAGCCTTAGAGGCTCTGGCGTCAGGGACCCCCATGAGGGCTACCAGTAAGAACCAGAGAGAGCGACTGTTCCTGGCTTCAGCCCGAAACCCTGGCAGTCAACATCAGCCTTGGTTGGAGCCCTAGGCTTCCCTCTCCCTCCCAAGCCCTCTCCAGGCAGAAGGCAACTTCCTCCCTTATTCCGTCTCCCCAGGGGGCTCCCATACCTGCTCAGACCAGCTTGTCACCAAGTCTGCCTCATCCTTAAGTGGATCGCGATACCCCAGAAGAGCAGCAGCTCCTGCCTGAATAGGGCTAGCAGGGGAAAAAAAAGAGGAAGAGGCCGTGTTCCTGAGCCACCCAGCCAGGAAGGACCTGACCGGGCCGGACGCCCCACCCTTGCCGACAGGCAGGCCCGCCCCGTCTCCGCCCCGCCGCTGACAAGGAGGGCGAGCACCAGGCCTGGGAACTGCTGACCTGCCCGCCCACCTTCCCACCCAGACCCCGCCTTCCCGGGCCAGCGGGACGTGACAGACCTGTGAGTCACTCAAGCCTGGCAGGCCAGCTGTCTCCGTGGCTGAGCAGCAGCAGTCCCTTAATGAGCACTTACCTGTGCCAAGGGCCCGGGGCAAGGAGGAGCTGGTGCCTGAGTGAGACCCCGAGCTTCGCTCGCCGGGCCGGTCGCTCAGCCCCTGGTCCGGGTCCCCAGTCAGCAGCTGCTGGGAAAGGCGCAGGAGCTGGAAGTCATGCCCAATGCCGCGAGACCGGGCACCCCAAGGGCATAAGTCTTCTGTCCCTGTTCTCGGGTTCTGAGTCCCAGTGTGGCTGCACACTTCTGAGTTAGAGGTGTTTGATGCAAGTGCTCTGGAGACCCAAAGTGAGGGACAGTCCGCACATGATCTGGCCACAGTTGTGAAGTCAAGGGAGGACTGAGGATCTGCCCCAGAGAGGAGACCCAGGGAGCTACCAGTCCAACGTCCTGGGGGTCCTGCAGTGATGCTGTTGGGACAACTGAGGTGCTCGGACAGAGTCTGAGCAGGCGGTGGGGCTGAATCCACTCAGCTTCTCATGGGATGGTTGCAGCTAATGGATTTAACGTGGTGATAGAAGGCTGGACAAATTTTAAAAAATCAATAAATTGGCCGGGCGCGGTGGCTCAAGCCTGTAATCCCAGCACTTTGGGAGGCCGAGACGGGTGGATCACGAGGTCAGGAGATCGAGACCATCCTTCAAGACCAGCCTGGCCAACATAATGAAACCCGTTTCTACTAAAAATACAAAAAAGTAGCTGGGCGTGGTGGTGGGCCCCTGTAATCCCAGCTACTCGGGAGGCTGAGGCAGGGGAATCGCTTGAACCTGGAAGGTGGAGGTTGCAGTGAGCTGAAGTCACACCACTGCACTCGCACTCCAGCCCAGGCGACAGTGTGAGACTCCATCTCAAACTAAAACAAAAACAAAAACCAATAAATTATGGTTTAATCAATAAATTATGGGCTGGCATGGTGGCTCATGCCTGTAATCCCAGCACTTTGGGAGGCCGAGGCGGGTGGATCACGAGGTCAGGCGTTCGAGACCACGTTCAAGACCAGCCTGGCCAACATAATGAAACCCGTTTCTACTAAAAATACAAAAAAGTAGCTGGGCGTGGTGGTGGGCCCCTGTAATCCCAGCTACTCGGGAGGCTGAGGCAGGGGAATCGCTTGAACCTGGAAGGTGGAGGTTGCAGTGAGCTGAAGTCACACCACTGCACTCGCACTCCAGCCCAGGCGACAGTGTGAGACTCCATCTCAAACTAAAACAAAAACAAAAACCAATAAATTATGGTTTAAAAATAAAAAACAGGCCGGGTGGGGTGACTCACGCTTGTAATCCCAGCACTTTGGGAGGCCGAGGTGGGCAGATCACCTGAGGCCGGGAGTTTGAAACCAGCCTGACCAACATGAAGAAACCTAGTCTCTACTAAAAGTACAAAAATTAGCCAGGTGTGGTGGCGGGTGCCTGCAATCCCAGCTACTCGGGAGGCTGAGACAGAAGAATTGCTTGAACATGGGAGGTAGAGGTTGCAGTGAGCTGAGATCTCGCCACTGCACTCCAGCCTGGGCAACAGAGCAAGACTCTGTCTCAAAAATAAAAATAAATAAAAATAAAAATAAAAATAAAAACCTGCCGGGCGCGGTGGCCCATGCCTGTAATCCTAGCACTTTGGGAGGCTGAGGTGGGTGGATTGCCTGAGCTCAGGAGTTCGAGACAAAACGGTGAAACTCCATCTCTACTAAAATACAAAAAAAAAAAAAAAATTAGCCGGGTGTGGCGGCCTGCGCCTGTAGTCCCAGCTACTCAGGAGGCTGAGGCAGAAGAATAGCTCGAACCCGGGAGGTGGAGGTTGCAGTGAGTTGAGATCGTGCCACTTCACTCCAGTCTGGCGACAGAGTGAGACTCCTTCTCAAAAAATATATATATAATAATAATAATAAATAAAAATAAAATAAAAATAAAAAACTGGCTGCTTAATGCATAGGGGGCTTTCTTTCTGGGTCATGAATATGTTTCAGAACTAGAGGTAGTAGCACACATCGTAAATGTATCAGACGGTATAAAATACTGTTTCTTGTATTACATATAATACACAATATGTGTTTGCATATATTGCTGTATATATATATTCTGCCATACAGTAGATTATATATTGCTACATATACATAGTATCATGTAGTACTGTAACTATATAAAATTGTATATGTGGCCGGGTGGGGTGGCTCACGGCTGTAATCCCAACACTTTGGGAGGCCGAGGCGGGTGGATCAGAGTGTGATGGCGGCGCCTGTGGTCCCAGCTACTCGGGAGGCTAAGGCAGGAGAATCGCTTGAGTCTGGGAGGTCGAGGCTGCAGTGAGCCGTGATTGCACCACTGCACTCCGGTCTGGGTCTGGCTGGACCTGTGTCAAACAAAAAACAGAAACACTAGAGAGACAAAAGGCGAGGGCAGGCGGCTGCCGGAAAGCTGGAGCCCGGCGGGGTTGAGGTTACTTCCAGCCGCCCCGGGGCTGGCCTCGCTGCCGTCAAGCGGCCCGGGCGCGCTTTGCGACAGTCGGTGGGGCCTGGCACCGGCGCAGGTTCGCTTTCCGGCGGTTGCGGGGGGCCGGGGCGCCAGCGCCCGCCTTCCCGTTCCCTCCGGTTGCGCGGCGCGCCCACGGCCTGTGACCCCGGCGACCGCTCCTCAGTGACAAGAGAGCGGGGCCGGGCGCGGCTCCGGCCTGACCTGCGAAGGGACCTCGGTCCAGTCCCCTGTTGCGCCGCGCCTCCCGTCCGTCCGTGCGCGGGCCAGTCAGGGGCCAGTGTCTCGAGCGGTCGAGGTCGCAGACCTAGAGGCGCCCCACAGGCCGGCCCGGGACGCGGGGAGCGCCGGCCGCGGGCCAGGTGGGGATGCCCCTGCACGTGAAGTGGCCGTTCCCCGCGGTGCCGCCGCTCACCTGGACCCTGGCCAGCAGCGTCGTCATGGGCTTGGTGGGCACCTACAGCTGCTTCTGGACCAGTGAGTGGACGCAGGCCGAGGCAGGCCCACCTGGGTACCTATGCCCGGCCGGAGATGGGACTTAGGGTGGGGGACGCCGCGGCCCCGACCTGGTGGGCGAGCCCTGAGCGCCTGACCTCTCCTTTCCCGCCAGAGTATATGAACCACCTGACCGTGCACAACAAGGAGGTGCTGTACGAGCTCATCGAGAACCGAGGCCCGGCCACGCCCCTCATCACCGTGTCCAATCACCAGTCCTGCATGGACGACCCTCATCTCTGGGGTACCCGGGCCAGTGTGCTGGGCAGGGGGAGGAAAGGCGAGGATTCGCGACGGCTCCAGCCTTGTCAGAACAAACCCCTTCTCGCTGCCTTTTCATGGAGCCCTGGCACTCTGGTTTCTGGGTGTTCTGCCCCAGGGCTGAGACTGATTTGTGACTCCTGCAGCATCCCCTGAGGGAGCATGATTTGGAGAGGGCCTTGGGCATGGAGCAGGACCAAGGAACGGCCACAGGGCAGGTCTTACAGCTCCTTTAACGTCAGTCCTGGAGAACCCTCTGTTCTCTAAACCATCCAGGGCCCCACAGTCTTGGGAAAAAATTGGGGGTTGAACATAGGATATCCTGTGAGGAAGTTCTGGGCCAGGGACTGGAAGCCCAGTGTCCTGGCTCCAGGTTTGCTCCTGGCTGGGCGGGTACCCTTCAGCCCTATTTGGGAGCCTAGTTGCCACACCTAGAGGTTCCTGCTCTGCTGACTTCACAGGAAGTTACTTGGCTCTGGTAACCAGATGGCTGGGTGGAGGGATGCCCAGGGCTTCCACTTCTGAACAGAAGGGTTAGACTGTCCTAGAGCTCATGGGGAACCACCTGGCCGCACTGGAGTCCTTCAGAGCTCATCCTGGCTGCTGGGTGGAGAAAGGCCTATAGATGTCACAGGTGGATCCTGAGAGGCCAGGAAGGAGGTCTTTGAGCCATCCACTAGCCTAGACTGGGCTGGTGGCACTGACAGTACAGGGAGAAGTATAGAAGAATGGGCATTGTCCAAGTATGTTGGGGAGGTAGGCAGTCCAGGTGCAGTGATTAGTAAGATGTGGAGGGTGGGGGAGAGGCAGGAGCCAGGGAGAACTGAACAGTCTCGCCTATGGGTCTGAAAGATGCCACTTAGGGCTGTAGGGAAATGGTAGTGCTGCTGTCCTTGTCCCTCATTCCCTGAAATGGGGTGAAGGAAGGGCACTCCCTGGGGATATGGGAAGTTGGGGCATGAAGTCTTTCCTCTCCTCTAGGGATCCTGAAACTCCGCCACATCTGGAACCTGAAGTTGATGCGTTGGTGAGGAGGAATGGGCCCCTCGAAGTGGGCCGGGCCGGCCCCACCTGCCTCTGCCCAGATTTGCCCTCCTCCTGCTCTGCCCAGGAGGTGGCGTCCAGCAGTCCAGGCAGGGCATGGGGTGGGGCCCCACAGGCCCTCCCCTGTGCCTCCCTTCTGCATGCCAATGCTGGGGGCAGGGTTGTCGAGCGGGGTGCAGGGGGCAGGACTAATTGCATCTGTCCCTGCTCAGGACCCCTGCAGCTGCAGACATCTGCTTCACCAAGGAGCTGCACTCCCACTTCTTCAGCTTGGGCAAGTGTGTGCCTGTGTGCCGAGGTGAGCTGCTCCTCCAGCGAGTGCAGGGAGGCACTTCTGGGGCAGGAAAGCTGGTCGCCAGTGTCTCTGTTTTGGAGGGACCTATGGGGGCAGGCAGCCCGGGAGCCAACATGAGGCCCAGCTCCATCACATGCCAGCAGAGGAGGCAGAGGCTGCAGGAGGAGGGATGGCTCCTTGGAGAGCCCTCAACTCTCTGCAACTGCCCAGGGATCGTGTGGACCTGGAACCTTGGCATTAGAATTCAGGGAGGTATTATCCACACCCCCTTATCTCAGACACGTCACTAAGAGACTCATTGAGAACAGTGCATTGCCATTGGTCCATGGTGGCAGTAGCATGTACCTGCAGGCCAGAGGGTTTTGCTTCTAGGAGAACAAACAGGCTTGTGGGGTGAGAACCCCAGGAGATAGGGGCCATTTTGATCCCTATTCAGGGAGGATCACAGAGATTAAGCTGCTGGCCCAAGGTCATGGGGTAGGAGGTGGCAAAGCCAGGATTTGAATCCAGATTGCTCCTCCCTCTGTGGGAGCAGAATTTTTCCAAGCAGAGAATGAGGAGAAAGGTGTTCTAGACACAGGCAGGCACATGCCAGGTGCTGGAGAGAGAAGAGAGAAAGGTAGGCTGGGCACAAGCGGTTCACACTTGTCATCCCAGCACTTTGTAAGGTCGAGGTGGGAGGATCACTCAAGCCCAGGAGTTTGAGACCAGCCTGGGCCACATAGTGAGACCCTGTCTCTTTAAAAATAAACATATTTTAAACAGAAGAAAGGTAGAAAATATAAGTTGTATGTAGAATATGAAGGTTCTAGAATAATCCTATTAAGAATTTTGGATTCTAGCTGGCTGCATTGGTGCATGCCTGCAGTCCCAGCTCCTCAGGAGGCTGAGGTGGAAAATCACTTGAGCCCTTGATTTTTTTTTTTTTTTTCCTTGAGACAAGGTCTGTCTCTATGGTCCAGGCTGGAGTGCAGTGGCATGATGATGGCTCACTGCAGCTTCTGTCTTCTGGGTTCAAGTGATCCTCTCACCTCAGCCTCCTGAGCAGCTGAGACTAAGGAGTGTGCCCAGCTAATTCTTTTTTTTTTTTTTTTTTTGTAGAGTTGGGGTCTTACTACATTGTCAGGGCTGGTCTTGAACTCCTAGACTCAAGTGATCCTTCCACCTCAGCTTCTCAAAGTGCTGGGATTATAGACATGAACTATTGTGCCCAACTGAGGCCGGCCTGGACAATATAGTGAGACCCCAGGTATGGATGGATGGATAGATCCATAGACAGACAGACCAACCAACCGACCCGACCTGGGCAATATAGTGAGACCCCAGGTATGTATGTATGTATAGATAGATAGATAGGCCGACCTGGGCAATATAGTGAGACCCCAGGTATGTATGTATGTGTAGATAGATAGATAGATAGATAGATAGACTGACCTGGGCAATACAGTGAGACCCCAGGTATGTACGTATGTATGTATGTATAGATAGATAGATAGCCAGCCAGCCAGGCAGGGTGGCTCACGCCTGTAATCCCAGTGCTTTGGGAGGCTGAGAAGGGTGGATCACTTGAGGTCAGGAGTTTGAGACCAGCCTAATGTGGTGAAACCCCATCTCTACTAAAAATACAAAAATTAGGCCGGGCGCGGTGGCTCAAGCCTGTAATCCCAGCACTTTGGGAGGCTGAGGTGGGCGGATCACGAGGTCAGGAGATCGAGACCATCCTGGCTAACACGGTGAAACCCCGTCTCTACTAAAAAATACAAAAAACTAGCCGGGCGAGGTGGCGGGCGCCTGTGGTCCCAGCTACACGGGACGCTGAGGCAGGAGAATGGCGTAAACCTGGGAGGCGGAGCTTGCAGTGAGCTGAGATCCGGCCACTGCACTCCAGCCCAGGCAACAGAGCGAGACTGTCTCAAAAAAAAAAAAAAAACTTTAAAAATACAAAAATTAGCTGGGCATGGTGGCGCATGCCTGTAATATCAGCTACTCAGGAGGCTGGGGTGGGAGAATCGCTTGAACCCAGGAGGCGGAGGTTGCAGTGAGCTGAGATCATACCATTGCACTCCAGCCTGGGCCAGAGAGTGAGACCTGGTCTCAAAAATATATATATATATTTTTGTACTTGGCTGTGCTCTCTCATCCAGGTGGTGACATGCTTGTATCTGTGGTTAAGAGATAGCATTTGCTGGGCACAGTGGCTCATGCCTGTAATCCCAGCACTTTACAAGGCTGAGGCAGGTGGTTCATCTGAGGTCAGGAGTTCGAGACCAGCCTGACCAACATGGTGAAACCCCGTCTCTACTAAAAATATAAAAATTAGCTGGGCATGGTGACAAATGCCCATAATCACAGCTACTCAGGAGGCTGAGGCAGGAGAATCATTTGAACTCAGGAGGCGGAGGTTGCAGTGAGCCAAGATCGTGCCACTGCACTCCAGCCTGGGTAACAGAGCAAGACTCTGTCTCAAAAAAATAAAAAAAAAAAGAGCGATAGCATCCTAGTTTGCAGTGTGGCTGCAGCAGGGCTAGGTGGACGTGAGGAGCCCAGTTCAGGGCTGTCACAGTAGCTCCAGCAGCAGATAATTGTGGCTGGGCCTCCAAGGGTCACAGTGGAGAATCGGAGAAGGGGACTTCTTTGGGATGTACTCTGGACTTGTTGATAAATTAAGTGTAGGGTGGGGTGAGGAAGAGAACTCAAAGATAACACTAGGTGTTGGAGCTGAGTCACAGGGAGACGGGTGCAAAGGGAAAGCAGTGCAGGGGCTGGGAGGGGAGAGGGTGAGTCCTGTTTTGCTTGTGCTGCATCTGAGGAGCCCCTCACCTGGAGAGCAGTCCCAGAGGCAGTGGGGTGTGCAGTTCTGGAGCTTAGAAGAATGATCAGGGGGCCAGGCGTGGTGGCTCATGCCTGTAATCCCAACACTCTGAGAGGCCGAGGTGGGCCGATCACGAGGTCAGGAGATCAAGACCATCCTGGCTAACACAGTGATACCTCGTCTCTACTAAAAATACAAAAAATTAGCCGGGCGCGGTGGCGGGCACCTGTAGTCCCACCTACTCGGGAGGCTGAGGCAGGAGAATGGTGTGAGCCCGGGAGGCGGAGCTTGCAGTGAGCCGAGATTGCGCCACTGCACTCCAGCTTGGGAGACAGAGCGAGACTCCGTCTCAAAAAAAAAAAACAAAAAAAAAATCAGGAATAAAGATACTGGGAATTCAACCACAAAGTCATGAATGCAGAGTGAGAGTCTGCAGGGCAGAGGCCCAGGATGGCACAGAGGGAGAGAGAAGCCACCAAGATGGCAGGGAGCCATGGCCAGAGAGAAGAGCAAACCAGGCGCCTGTGGCACATGGAAGCAGCAGGTGATTGTGGAGAAGCGTTTCCATGGAGTGACGGCTGCCAGAGCCAGATTATTGTGGCCTGAGGGCTGGTGGTGCTGCAGTTGGGGGGGAATGGAGACCGCAGGGGCAGCAACTCCTCCCAGAGGTTCAGTTGGGAGGAAAAAGAGACAGAAGGAAGAGTAACCAAAGGATATTAGAGGTCAAGGAGGGGTTTATTATTTCTAGCTGGTCAAAGTAGAATGTGGTAAAACCCCATAAAGTAACAACAAATAACAAAGAGGGGCTTTTAATGGAAAGCTGCAGTGCCCGCCCCTCACCTCCCTAGCCCCACTCCTCAGAAGCAGCCCCCTGGAGCGGCTTCTCTTTCTGCTGCTTTTGGAGGCTACTTCTCTCTGTAAAGGAACTTCTGTCTCTGTTAAGAAACAAGCAGAGGCCACAGTGTCTTGGCAAATGACCATGGCGTCGTTTATCCCAACCTGCTCTGAGAGATGAGAACTCTACTCATTCACCCCCTGCCCCTGCCTCTCAGTTCCTTCAGCAAAGAACTAATAATATGTCATTAAGGCAAAGGCAGTATTTAGCACACTTGGCTTCTGTGTTCCAAAAAATTCCCTTTTTCTCCAAGCGTAGACTTTAATATGGTATTTAAGTATCGAAGTGATTTGACACAAGTGACACAAATAAGTAGTAGTAGCATTTGCAAAAGCTACAAATGATGAAGTCTTGCTCCAAAAGCATATTATTATTATTTTTTAAATTCCAGTTTCAAGCTCAATGGATAGGTTGCATCAGTGGGTTTTAGTAGAGAAGGGGCCAGTACTTATGAAGACTCCCCCCTACTGTTACACATGCTGTGTCCCAAGTAGGGAAACTGCTGCTTTTCCCATGCCCTGAGAAAACTCCAGTGAGTCGTCACCCTCCCTGTAGCCTGGGTCAGGGCACTGTTTGGGTTGGGTTGAGACTCCTGGATCCCTAACTAGCCCCTTCCAAAGAATCGGCCTTGCAGAGAACAAAGTTCATTGCCAGAGGTATTCCCAATGTCTGTCTCTCCCTCTGTGATAGAACTTCTTTACTCCCTACTTTATAAGATGAGGATATCTGCTATACCCCATTCCTTCAACCTCTCTACCTCCTCTTTCCTGTTTTGTCCGACATGTGGTTACTTTTCCATCACCGAGGTTGATGAGATCCTTACTGTGTACTTACTGTCTCCAAGCATCCCCAGGCTTCCAGCCAACACGCAGCCAACATTGGCTTCAGAAGGAAGGAGGTTTGCATTTCCTTCTCTTGGGTCCAGTGTCATGGTCTCAGGGTTATCTCCAATGTGGAAAGTTGCTAGACCAGGAGCAGTTTGACTCCACTGTTTGCAGTCTAGCAAGTTTGAGTTTTTCCCAAACTCTTGATGTGTGTTCAAATGAATGTTCTCCCCTTCCCAAGAGGCCTCCCTATAAGGGAGGGTCTAGTTTCCCGGGGCGCCCTGAGAAGAAGGGGCCAGCAGGAGGGAGGAATGGTGGAGGCTGAGGCCTCAGGCAGGTGCCCTCTGAGGAGTGGCTGTGACACGTCGCTGAGACCCCAGCAAAGGGTTGTTGCCCAGAATCTGGGGCCTAAGTGAGGTTGGAAATCACAAATGCACTTGGTTTCTCTAGCAGCTGGCACATGGTAGGATCACCCCAGGAGTGGCACCTTCGAAGAGAAAGGAATACATGAGGCTCTGAGAGTGGTCGGCTGGCAGCCAGGGCCTGGCTGGGGAGGGAAGGCAGGTGGTGCGCCAACCTGGGGATCTTTGAGAGTGTGCAGGGGTATGTGGCTGAAGCGGCCCAGCTGGTGAGCCACTGAAGATGGGGGTCATGGTAGATGGAGGAATTGCCAGGTCAAAATCTCAGTAGGAGATGACTTGAGATCATGCTGCCTGGCACTTAGGGGTTTAGAAGATATTAGGAAGGAAGCCCCACCATGTGCCCAAGTGCCACACAGACCCTGGAGACAGTCATTGGAGGGCATCTGTGTGGATGGCACAGTGGGGGATGGGAAGTGCCCAAAGCATGGGCCCCAGGGAGAAGGGCCTGTTTCATCGAGGTTTGGAGAGGGTTGAGGGTAAGCTAACCCATCACCCCACACCCCCGAGAATGGGGACTGATGGGGAGAGGCCTTTTCCTTGCAGGAGATGGCGTCTACCAGAAGGGGATGGACTTCATTTTGGAGAAACTCAACCATGGGGACTGGGTGCATATCTTCCCAGAAGGTCAGCAGGGCTGACTGGGTCGAGCCCCCGCAGTATGAGCGGGATGGGCTCCCAAGCCTCGCCTCTGTGCTCTCTCACCAGGGAAAGTGAACATGAGTTCTGAGTTCCTGCGCTTCAAGTGGGGTAAGGGCTACTGGTCTCTGGCCACAGCCATCCTCCCGGCCCAGAGATGGCCCTGTGGGCCCCTGGCTCCTGCCCCCTCAGGCTGGGTTGTATGGGGGTAATGGGTGTGTTGTAGCGCCAGGAAGGGGACAGGTGCTGAGACTAGGGCTTGCCTCGTGGAGGGCCTTGCCCAGGGGAGCTGAACTGAACTGGAGAATGTCCGGGGTGGTACTGGCCAGAGGCTGGCACAGAAGCTTGGCTCAGGGCCCAGCTTATGCTAACATTTCTGCCTCCCCCCCGGGCAGGAATCGGGCGCCTGATTGCTGAGTGTCATCTCAACCCCATCATCCTGCCCCTGTGGCATGTTGGTGAGCCTGGGAACAGGGACAGAGAGATGGTATCTGGGGTGGGGGGCCTGGGACTCAGGCTGCCCTGCTCCACCCCACGTCTGGCCTTCTGTCCACTGTGCTGCAGGAATGAATGACGTCCTTCCTAACAGTCCGCCCTACTTCCCCCGCTTTGGACAGGTGGGTGGGGACTGCTGACCTTCGGCTGTCTGTCTGCCTGCCTGTCTGCCGTCTGCCCCATGTCTCCCACTCAGCACTATGGAGGCCAGATGCAGGAGGAGCTGAGTGTGAGGCTACAGTAGGGGACTGAGTGGAACATAGACAGGGACTTCCTGGCACTGAGACATTAAAATGAGAGCAGAGGAAGTCAGGCTGGGGCAGGGGTGGGCCGTGGGGTCAGGATAGGACAGGTTATCTACAGCACAGGACCCAGGACCAGGACCTCGTTTTAGAGAGAGAGTGGCCCCTGGGGAATGTGTGGCACAGCAGGGCCAGGGCTTAGCTTCTGGCTCCTGGGTTGCTTGGGCTGGGGCTGTGGGCACTCTTCCTGCTCCTCATCACTCTTGGTGGCCACCCCACAGAAAATCACTGTGCTGATCGGGAAGCCCTTCAGTGCCCTTCCTGTACTCGAGCGGCTCCGGGCAGAGAACAAGTCAGCTGTGAGTTTCCTCCTGGGTCCCCCATAGCTGTCCCCGGACCCCCTGAGGGTGCCTCCACCCTCTCCGTCCCGTCACCCTCCCAGGGCACCTTGGCCAAGCTTCCCGAGGGGTGCAGGCCATCCCTGGTCCTTTCCCTCAGGTGGAGATGCGCAAAGCCCTGACAGACTTCATTCAAGAGGAATTTCAGCGTCTGAAGACTCAGGCAGAGCAGCTCCACAACCACCTCCAGCCTGGGAGATAGGCCCCGCCTGGCCAGCCCCTGACCTTGCCTCCTCTGGGCCCTGAGGGAGCAGGCAGGGCTGAGGCTGGAGGAAGAGGCGGCACCAGGGTCCAGGCCCAACGGGGCTGGCTGTCCTTGCTTGCTGCCTTCTGGATACTTGGCCTGCACAGAGCTGGGGCTGAGGGATGGACTGATGCTTTTAGCTCAAATGTGGTTTTTAGACAGATTTGTTCATAGACCCTCTCAAGTGCCCTCTCCGAGCTGGTAGGCATTCCAGCTCCTCCATGCTTCCTCGGTTAAACGAAGGACCTCAGCTGCTTCTCCCACTTGGCCAAGCAGGGAGGAAGAAGCTTAGGCAGGGCCCTCCTTCCTTCTTGCCTTCAGGTGTTCTCTCCCAGGGGCTGGCGTCAGGAGGAAGCATAGAAGGCAGGTGAGCAAGCAGTTGGCTGGGGGCTCACCAGAGCTGTGGAGAGGGGACCCTAAGACCCCTCAGCCTGGCTCCTACCCCCAACCCTTGCTGAACCAGGAGCTGCTCACTACCTCCTCAGGGATGGCCGCTGGCCACGTCTTCCTTCTGCCTGAGCTTCCCCTGCCACAGGCCCTTTCCTCAGGCAAGGTCTGGCCTCAGGTGGGAAGAGCAGCCCTTGGCCAGAAGTCAAGCCCAGCCACGTGGAGCCTAGAGCGAGGGCCTGAGGTCTGGCTGCTTGCACCCATGCTGGGGCCACCGACTTCTCCATCCTTTCTGCTTCTCAACATCACTTGAGTCCTGGGGCCTGAGTTTTCATGTTTTTGAAACAGAACCATAAAGCATATGTGTTGGCTTGTCGTATAATGCCTCTGGCCTCTCTGTAGGGGTGGAAATAGGAAGTGACTGCTGGACAGAAAAGCTGGACCCTTAGTGCCCTGGGCACATGGAGCACACTTGAGCAGATGGGCATTGACCTCTTCCACACCAGTCACTTAAGGGTTCAGTTATTGTCTGTAATCCCTGAAACAACGTTGCAGAAATAGGGATTAATCTCCTCATTTTGCCAAGGAGGTGGAGTGAGGCTAATGAACTTGCTTCAAAACCCAAAGCTAGCCAGGTAGATTGGGGCCACACTTCAGAGAGCCCCAAGTGTGGAGAATCAGTTGGATCCTACCTGGGCTGCATCATAGGTGGGAGAGGAGCTCTGAAGAGCCCGGCGAGTAGCCAGCCATGAGCAGTGCATGCTGCGATCAGGAGGTGGGATTGGGGTTGCCCAGATGGAACTGGGGGTCCTGGGTGGGAGCAAAGGCAAATCCAGGGTGTTGGTGCAGACACAGTATTAAAAATACTATAACAGAAACATGGAAAGAAAGAAAAGATAGAACCACCAAAGATGAGCCAGCAACAAGAGAAGATTCAGACAACCAGGTCTTTCAGCAGTGTTGGTGCCTAATTATTTCAAAGTAAAAGTTTTTTTTTTTCTTTTTTTTTTTTTTGAGATGGAGTCTCCCTTGGTTGTCCAGGCTGGAGTCCAGTGGTGCGATCTCAGCTCACTGCAAGCTCAGCCTCCAGGGTTCACGCCATTCTCCTGCCTCAGACTCTCGAGTAGCTGGGCCTATAGGCGCCCGCCACCACACCTGGCTAATTTTTTTGCGTTTTTAGTAGAGACGGGCCGGGCGCGGTGGCTCAAGCCTGTAATCCCAGCACTTTGGGAGGCCGAGACGGGCGGATCACGAGGTCAGGAGATCGAGACCATCCTGGCTAACACAGTGAAACCCCATCTCTACTAAAAAATACAAAAAACTAGCCGGGCGAGGTGGCGGGCGCCTGTAGTCCCGGCTACTCGGGAGGCTGAGGCAGGAGAATGGCGTGAACCCGGGAGGCGGAGCTTGCAGTGAGCTGAGATCCGGCCACTGCACTCCAGCCTGGGCGACAGAGCGAGACTCCGTCTCAAAAAAAAAAAAAAAAAAAAAAAAAAAAAAAAAGAGACGGGGTTTCACCATGTTAACCAGGATGGTCTCGATATCCTGACCTCGTGATCCACCTGCCTTGGCCTCCTAAAGTGCTGGGATTACAGGTGTGAGCCACCACGCCCGGCCAAAATAAAAGGTTTTTTTAAAAAAATGACTAAAAAGGGAAAAAAATTGCCTGGGAAAAAACAAACACTTGTAATTAAATATAGATAAAAGCAGCTGGGCACCATGGCTCACGCCTATAATTCCAACACTTTAGGAAGCCAAGGTGGGCGGATCATTTGAAGTCAGGAGTTCGAGACCAGCCTGGCCAATGTGGTGAAACCCGATCTCTACTAAAATACAAAAATTAGGCCAGTTGCGGTGGCTCACACCTGTAATCCCAGCACTTTGGGGAACGGCCGAGGCGGGGGCAGACTCACTGAAGGGCTCAGGAATTTTACTGAAGACCAGTCATAGACCAACATGGTGGAAACACCTGTCTCTACTAAAAATATCTAAAAATATTAGGCGAGGTCGCGGGTGGCTCCGCCTGTACTCCCAAGCCCTCATTGACGCAGCAAGACCAAAGGCACGGCCGCACCTCACACTATTGAGCGGGACTTCACGAGGCAACATGCTGACCAAACATGCAGGAAGGACATCCATGCTCTTACTTAACATAATTACAAAGCTCTAGCCAGGCGTCAGAACCAACCTAAACCCCCCCAGAGTAGAGCAGAGTAGCCCTGTAAACTCCCCATCTACCCTCGGACCACACAGGAGGCTAGAAGGTAGCATGGAAGGAACTTCGCACCTTAGGCAACCCCGGGAGCAGAGGTTGCACGGACTAGCGCAAACACCACACACCACCCAACACACAACACACCACGACATCATCGGAAGCCCACCCGATTGCCGCCCCTTGCACACCACGCCTGAGAACGAGCACAAACCTTCTGTCTTCACCACAAATACCAACAAAAAAAAAAAGAAAATACCAACTGGCCAGGCAAGCGGCAACTGGCTACACCACGCCAATGTACATCCGAGTAGTAGCACCACACACCACACACAAACACTGGAGGCTCGCAGGACCGCAACCAAAACACACAAACGAGCCAAAAGCGGCCTCACCCCACAAGGTTCAAGGAGATCACGAGGAACCCAATCCCCTTGCCCCTAACATGGTGCAACCCCGTCTCTACAGATAAAAAAAAAAAAAACACAACCTCCAAACACACCAAAACCGCGGCGCGCTCCACACACTCACGACACAACCAACAGCTGGCCAAAGACGCACCTGTCCCAATGTCCCAAGCTGAACGCGGCTATGAGCAGGGAATGGTGTGAACCCAGGAGGGCGGAGCATAATGCAACGTGAGCACGAGATCTGGCCACTGCAAATTCCAACCTGAAGCAGACAGGATGAGAAGAGACAATACTGTCCAAAAAAAAAAATTTTAATTTAAAAATAAAAAGAAATGACATTTTGATACATGCTACCAAATGGATACTCTCAAAGGATTTTCAAGAAACATGCTAACTGCAATAAGCCAGAAACAAAAGGCTGCATATTACATGGTTCCACTTATATGATGTACTTACCGGCTTCAGATCCAGAATCAAAAAGTAAAAGGTTGGTTGTAGGGCCTGGGAGGATGGGGGAATGGGAAATTGTATAATAGGGACAGAGCTTTAGTTTGGGAAGAAGAAAAGAGTTCTGAAGATGGATGGTGGTGATGGCTGTACAACAATGTGAACATTCTTAATGCCACTGAACTGTACAGTTAAAAGTGGTTAAGGCTGGGTGTGGTGGCTCACGCCTGTAATCCCAACACTTTGGGAGGCCGAGGCGGGCGGATCACCTGAGGCCAGGAGTTTGAGACCAGTCTGGCCAACATGGTGAAACCCCTATCTCTACAAATAAATAAAATTAGCCAGGCGTGTTGGCGGGTGCCTGTAATCCCAGCTACTCAGGAGGCTGAGGCAGGAGAATCGCTAGAACCCGAGAAACGGAGGCTTCAGTGAGCCAAGATTGCACCATTGCACTCCAACCTGGACAGCAAAAGTGAAATTCCGTCTCAAAAAAATAAAAAATAAAAAAATAGGCCGGGCGCGGTGGCTCACGCCTGTAATCCCTGCACTTTGGGAGGCCGAGACGGGCGGATCACGAGGTCAGGAGATCGAGACCATCCTGGCTAACACAGTGAAACCCCATCTCTACTTAAAAATACAAAAAATTAGCTCAGCGTGGTGGTGGGCGCTGGTAGTCCCAGCTACTCAGGAGGCTGAGGCAGGAGAATGGCGGGAACCCGGGAGGTAGAGCTTGCAGTGAGCCGAGATGGTGCCACTGCACTCCAGCCTGGGGGACAGAGCGAGACTCTGTCTCAAAAAAAAAAAAAAAAAACCAGGCATTGGACTAGGGGTCACCCTTATCCAGTATGACCTCACCTTAACTTGATTCTGTCTGCAATGACTTATATGGGGACACTACTCAACCCAGTGCATATACTCTATGACCTAGCAATTCCCCACCTAGTTATATACCTATTGAAATGAACATCTATGTTTAACAAAAGACATACATTGGCCAGGAGCTGTGGCTCACGCCTGTAATCCCAGCACTTTGGGAGGCCGAGGCAGGCAGATCATGAGGTCAGGAAATCGAGACCATCCTGGCTAACACGGTGAAACCCCGTCTCTACTAAAAATACAAAAAATTAGCTCAGCGTGGTGGTGGGCGCTGGTAGTCCCAGCTACTCAGGAGGCTGAGGCAGGAGAATGGCGGGAACCCGGGAGGTAGAGCTTGCAGTGAGCCAAGATCTCACCACTGCACTCCAGCCTGGGCGACAGAGCGAGACTCTGTCTAAAAAAAACCCAAAAAACAGAAAACAAAAACAAACAAACAAAAAAAAACAAACAAAAAAAAGATGTATACATAATTGTTCACAGTAGCATTAGCCATAACAGCCCAAATGGGAAACCAACCAAATGTCAACAGTTGAAGGAGGCAATCAATGGTGACACATTTATCCAGTGGAATACTATGAGGCAACATTGTTACATGCAGCCACTTGAATTAATCTGCCAATATTGAGCAAAGAATCTAGACACAAAATAACACTTCCCTTTAGAGTGGAGGAGAGGGCTGGGTGCGGTGACTCACACCTGTAATCTCAACACTTTGAGAGGCTGAGGTGGGTGGGTCACCTGAGGTCAGGAGTTCGAGACCAGCCTGACCAACATGGTGAAATCCCATCTCTACTAAATACAAAAAATTAGCCGGGCATGGTGGCACATGCCTGTAATCCCAGCTACTCGGGAGGCTGAGGCAGGAGAATTGCTTGAATCCGAAGGTGGCAGTGAGCCAAGATGGCGCCATTGGACTCCAGCCTGGGCAACAAGAGCCAAACTCTGTCTCCAAACAAACAAAAAAAAAGAGTGGAGGAGGGAAAAATATTATACTGAATAATTTCCTTTATTTAAAGTCTCAAAACAGCCAAAACATATCCCATGATTTTTAGGAATGCATGCTTAACTGGTCAAACTATAAAGACCAAAGTGATTAGCATAAGAATCAAGTTCATGGTCACATTGGGAAGTGATAGGAAGGGAATGAGAGGGGCTTTTGGGGCAGTGATATTCAAATTCTTGACCTGGGTGATGCCATGGGACTGTCTGCTTTGATAAGCATTATACACTGTACATCTTTATTTTGTGTACTTTTTTTTTTTTTTTTGAGACGGAGTCTCACTCTGTCACCCAGGCTGGAGTGCAATGGCACGATCTCTGCTAACTGCAACCTCCACCTCCCGGGTTCTCAAGCGATTCTCCTGCCTCAGCCTCCCAAGTAGCTGGGATTATAGGCGCATGCCACCATGCCCGGCTAATTCTTTTGTATTTTTA